TTTCACAAGAGCTCTCCGTTCAACCTCACTGAGCTCCAGCTGTTTGGCAAGGAAGAATGGACAAGAATTTCAGTCTCTCCATGTGCAAAACTGATAGACACAAATCCCAAGCGACTTGCAGCTGTAATTGCATCAAAAGGTGGTGCTACAAAGTATTAATGCAATATGGCCAAATAATATTGCACGCCTCCCTTTGCAGTTTTTTATTTGTTAAAAAAGTTTAAAATATCCAATAATTTTTGTTCCACTTCACGATTGTGTTCCACTTCTAGTTGATTCTCCTAAAAATAATAAAAATTTTAGGTCATTATGTTTGAAGCCTGAAAAGTGGCAAAAGTTTGAAAAGTTCAAGGGGGCCGAATACTTTTGCAAGACACTGTACATATGTGGTCCTACTACCAATCAAAAACAGATTTGTCTGTCAGATTTAGTATGGCATACGCTGGCCATTACCTTCCTATACATTTCTGCTTTATTCAAATTTTGCTTCACAAGCACAGTCTTCGCAGTGGAGAATGGTTGTTTACAGTGCAAGCAATTTCAGGTAAACAGTGCGAACTGCATGCATATATATACACGTCACAAACAAATTTTAGTGATTGAGTAACATTTAAAACCACAGAATCCACGATTCCAGGAAACAATCGTTTGTCAATAGCGGAGTCCAGACTGTATGCAGCAAAAAGCAGAGGACAAGGGGCTGTTTTTTTACCAGACTACGTGTAGTAAGAAGAAGTTATACTTTTGTTTGTTGTCAGGAATAGTCACTCTGATAATGAAAAATTAAAGGGGATGTATTATGTATTTTAAAGCCACATAGTGCCATTTTATATTGCAATCAAATAAAACTATCTTCAACTGTTAAAATTTCTTCAACTGTTAAAATTAGGTAGATGGATAGATAGATACTTTATTAAATTGTAATTTTCATCTCCCACACAGCACTGTTGGGTATACATCAAATACTGAAAAACATTAAATTTTTTTAGACATAAAAAAAACATTTAACAAAATGTTTAAACAAACAGTCCCTCTGTTTCTGTTGTACTCCTGTTACTCCTCCTTCCCAACCCCAATGAGGAGGTGACAAGTTTAATTGCACGAGGGACAAAAGAGTGTATGTGTGTGTGTATATATATATATATATATATATATATATGGCATATAAGTGGGTTGTTATTGTTATATTTGTTTTTTAACTGAGTTTGTTGTTGTGATTATAAGAAATGGTATTGTTAATTTTGATTTTTGTTTCATAAGCAAATATTACTTTACTTTGTAATATGTTCTTCCTTCTTTGTTTCAGTTAAGGAGAAGCTAACAGCAGATCCAGACAGTGAGATTGCCACAACAAGTCTTCGGGTGTCACTCATGTGTCCGGTAATTTAAGCATTTGTATAAATTGACACTATAAAAATACAAGATAACACAGTTGTTGGGACACCAAAATAGTTAAAGGAAATACTTGTATCAGTACAAAAAAAGTATTTATTTTTCTTTGTTGAAACTGTATTACACTCAATATAAGGAAAATAACATTTCTATCTTGAATGGGAACTGAAACTCTCTGAATTCCCTACATACACACATTCACTAGTCACTTTATTAGGTACACCTGCTCATGAATACAAATGTTGAATCAGCCGATCACATGGCAGCAACTTAATGCATGTAGACATGCATGTTTAAATTGTTTTTAGCTGTAAAAATTTAATGTTACCCCTCCCAGACCAAAAAGCACACACATCCATATTTGCACTGAACTCCCCCCATATCTGCGTNGGAAGCTACTAACCATGCATGGAGGGTTCCACCCCAAATCCAGCACCCTGAGACTGTACACAAGCCGTAAGGAAGGAGGCAGAGGACTAGTGAGTGTGAGAGCCACTGTCCAGGATGAAACATCCAAGATCCATAAATACATCAAAGACAAAACCTCAACGGACGATGTGCTCAGCAGAGGATGAGGTGCTGGAGGAACCATCATGGGAGGACAAGCCCCTACATGGGATGTACCACCGACAAATAACTGAAGTGGCTGATATCAGGAAGATACAGAGGCCCTCATCCTGGCTGCACAGGAACAGGCCTTAAACACCAGAGCAATAGAGGCTCAGATCTACCACACCAATCAATCAATCAATCAAAATCAAATTTTATTTGTATAGCACATTTCAGCAGCAAGGCATTTCACCAGACAAGACCCAAGGTGTAGGTTGTGCAAGGAGGCCCCTGAGACAGTCCAGCACATAACAGCAGGGTGCAAGATGCTGACATGGAACGACATAACCAAGTGGCGGGCATAGTGTACAGGAACATCTGTGCAGAATATGGACTGGAAGCCCTGAGATCGAAGTGGGGAGAAGGGAATTTTTATTTTTTATATATATATATGTGTGTGTGTGTGAGATTCTATCTTGCTGTTTACAGTTTATTTCCACCCATTATGGATGAGCAAGAGCGTCTAAGCTACAAAAGAGAATTTGACCGAGACCATCTTGAATACAAGAGCCTACAGGCTGGGATGGATGGTTTAAACCAGAACCTAGCTGACCTGGAAGGAGACTTGGACAGGCTCCCTGAGGGGAGCCCACAGTATCTGGTGAGGAGATTCAATAAATTAAGATATTATTGAAAAGTAAATTTATTTCGGTGACTGAATTCACAAAGTGAAACACGTTTAGGTTAATCCCACACAGACTGACGTTTTGAAGCCTTTTTTTCTGTTATGATGACATTGTGCTTACAGCTACTGAAAACTTGATGTCTATGGCTAGAATATCACATCAGACCAATGAAATCCATTTTCATACATAATTTTTTAAACATACTTTTAATCTGACAAGTGGGTCTCATCAGAGTGCAAATTACAGTGCTGGTACTGGAATTTGAATAATACTGGTACTGCATACCAGTACTGATTATGTCACACATTCCTGGCTGTCTGGTTTGGATTTCTTAGATTTTTTTCTTTGTCAGTTTCATAATATGCTGGAGTGAGTTAGGTGGGGAACTAGAAGCTTGTGTTTGTGTTTATTTTCTATTTCTATTATACAATAAAGCAACGGTTTTATAGCTGCAATAATAATAATAAAGTGGAGTGGTGATGGAGTAGCCATCTGTCTTCTTTTTTACATAATCAAACATGTGTATGAATCTTGAATAATATGTTTCTATATTGTGACACTAACAATGAATTGGTCTTACTACAGGATGTCTTGAATGAATACACTCAAGTCAAAAGCTTCAAGAAGGTAAGGTTAGCCAGGCTGTGAACTCTGATAATAAATATGAAGTGGACTATGGACTTTTCCACCACTAAGACTACTTTGGACCACCATGTGTTAAAGTAACTCAACTTTAACAGCTTGTTAAAGTAAGTTACTACTTTAAAACAGTAGCCTACTTTAAAAACTTAAAGTAGGCTACTGTGGCTGTGTGGGTAGAGTAGTCCTCTTGTGATCAGAAGGTTGTTGGTTCAATTCCAGCTTCCTCCAGCCACATGTTGATGTGCCCTTGGGCGAGGCACTTAACCCCAAATTGCCTACCGATTGGTGGGTAAATGTGACTCTAGATCAGGGGTGTCAAACTCATTTTG